TTTTCTGGTAAAAGTTTTGATCCCCCTTTATAGGTATGTGAAAAATTTGTAACAAACCAATGGTACAGCAGGCTTGGACGGGAATGGCGTGCGATCACGCGCTTTGTTTGACCACGGGAACAATAATTTTTTTTCACGGTTGCCTTGACAAATAAAACGCTTCAGAAATGCGTCGAAAGAAACTAGTAAAATTTACGAAATAACTTTTAATCGTTGATCTTTTTCAAAGTTTTTATATTGTGTGAAAACCTTTAAAGAAAATAACAAATTACTTCAAAAGATTAATTAAAATAAACAAATTATTATTACGAAAACGTATACGAAACTTTTATTTAAGTTTGTTTTCTAACGCTTAAAAGTATTTTTTTATGTTTTTATTTTAAATCTTTCAAACGAATATTTTGTTTTTCAAAGATTATTTTTTGAGCGAATTTTTTTTACGAAAGGAATGAATAAGCTCGAAACTTTATGAACGTCAATCTTTAAGATCTTCGTTCAAAACGTTTTGAGATTATTCGTTCACAAAGATCTTTGCTTAAGTTTGTATATTATGTGAAGGCATTTAAACAAAGTGAAAATTACTTCTAAGGATTACTTTCATTTCGTTTATATAACCAAAGAATATCTAAGTTTTTGTATTATTATATTTATAAGCATGTTTGTTTTTTTAAATGTAAACGTTAGAATATACCTTTCCATGTTTTTATATTAAATCTTTTAAACGAATATTTTGTTTCTGATAAACGGTAGGAATTAATAAATTTTTTTTAAAACTTGACATGCGAAACGCTTTAAAATAAATCTACTAAATGTTTGTAACGATTATTTTAATTAGACACTTTTTATTAAAAATATTTAAAAATGTTATTTGTAACATTTTTTTTCCATCCACAAAGTCTACCGTCACGCTAAGTTGAACTAATTCCTTGTCAAATAATTAGTTCTCCTTCGCGGAGATTTCATTAAACATAACCAGGTAAACATTAGACGTTACTCTTAAAAATCTTTGCGCATGAGAACCAATGCTTTTAGGTTAAAAGCATTGGCTCTCTTGCGCAAAGATTTTAAAGAGTAACGTCTAATGTTTACGCCCTTATGTTTAATGAGAATCTCCGCGAGAGAGAACTAACGAATTGCATGATAAGTGCTTATGATAAAAGTGTATGATAAATCATAGTCATAATATACTGTCTGATATTATGACTATGGATAAATCATACATATCTGATATTATGACTATGGATAAATGTAAAAGTTAAAAAGTATTTTTTTTTTGTCTTGCGATGTTTATGAATCTTTTAAACGAATATTTTATTTATTACTTTAAATTACGACATCAAAAAGTTTGAAACTTTATTAAAAAACTTTAAAATTATAGTGTGAAGCACTTATAAATAAAGTGACGAATTAATTGTAAAACAAAATTTAAATTAAGAAAAATGTTATAAAATAATTATTATTCCGATACATAACAAAATTTATCGGATTCAAAAAATGCAACTAAGAAGAAATATAAATTTATAATATAAGGCTTATTGATCAATAAACCAACGGACTTGATTAAAAAAATATATATCAAGGTATAACAGCCGAATTCTGACGCTTTTAGATCGTTTATTCAGCGGTCTAGCTACGACTGAACTCTTGCTGGAAAAATGTATTAACGCTCAGCCTGACATCAACAAAAGACCTAAACGTTGTAGCAATGAAGCTATTCCATAGTTTAACTTGTTTGCAAAAAATAAAGTAACAAAAGATAAAAGTCATTTATTTCTAACGTTAACTAACGTAACTTAAAATAATTGTCGCTTTGAGTTTGTACTTTTACAGTTTTAGTTTTCTTTTCTCTTCTTTTGTTAGAAAAATGTAAAAAAAAAAATACATATTTTTTAAATTGTTCTCTATAATTTAATTTAGTTTGGTTTTTTTAACGCATTTCCCATAGGCCGAAAAAACGTATTTATTAGTTAAAACATCAAAGCAACCGTGGTTTGTTTGTTATTGTCAAAACATTGTTATTATGTGCGTGGTCAAACACAGCGTCCGATCGCACGCCATTCCCGTCCAAGCCTGGTACAGGACACATCCAGTATTAAAACCTAATTTGAAAATATGGAAAATTGGAATAACAAAACCTTCTGCTGCGTGTTTCAAAACAAACAAACTAATTTCAAAACCTATCATTTTTGACTCAACTAAACTTTTTAACTGAGGGTGAGAGAGTGAAAGTGGGAGAGAGAAATAGAAAGGAGAATATTTGAAATATTGAATTTAGTCAGCTTAATCAATTATGATTAAGATGACTAATTAATTCAATAGGTGGCGATACAGGGGGCAGAAATTAAATCTTAAATGCCCATTTTTTTAAACCTACAAACTAAAGTGAAAATAGCAAAATGAAGAAAGTCATATGTTGCTTTTGCCATAACGTTATGTCTAAAAATGGACCTTGAATGGCAAGGCATTTTGAAAAATGTCAAAAGTATCCAGATAAAGTTAAACACCCATATATAAAAAATGCTAATAAAAAAGATAAACTATAAACAAATAAATTACAATTCACCAGATAAAGGTAGTCTGGGTCTGGGAGATTTGGAACTAGAAAGATCCAACCAACGAAGTAACACTAACACAATACTTCTGCATAAATTTTTAAATTAAAATATTCAATATTATTAGAATATTAAAGTAATTAATACAATAGTACTTTGTTTTACAGATGCCAATTGCATTTACAATATCTTTTATAGTTTAATATTGAAATAACATAATAAAAGTTATTGCTTTTTTTGCTTAAACATTTTATTTTTTTTTAATTGTAAACAAACTACCTTACACCTTTAACATTTAAACTGATAACCAATTAAAACTAATAAAACATATAATTTAAAAAGTTTAAGTTTTCCTACAAATTACAGTACTCATTTACAATTATATTTACAGTACTCATTCACAATTATATTTTCATTACAAATTACAGGGCTCATTTTTATAAAGACCTATTTGCAAAAAATATTTCTTTGATAAATATGACAAACAAATATTAAAATACTAAATTACTACATGATATATATATAAAGATTGTTTATTTCTTTGGGCATTTAAGTATAATATTCTAATATATTCACATAATCAAAATTAAAATGTTAATTTACTTATGGGTCAAATATAGTTTCTGTAAATAATGAGTGTCACACAGTAGTTTGGAAGTGACAAACATGTTTTGAACATGACAAATAAACATATCAGTCTAGATTTATAAAGTAACTATAGCTAATTTAGTTTTTTATAAAAAATATAAATTTAAATTTGGTGTTAATACATGTATTTGTACTTATAATGATCATATACTAAAATAAAAGACTAGAATAAAAAAAAAGCAATTCCAAAATTTGAAAAAATAATCAAAAAAAAAAAAAAAGCAAAAATATATGCCTTTTTGACTGAAAAAACGCAAGAAAAAAAAACAACAGTTTTTTTATCATCTATTTATTTGGGTGGTTTAAAAAACAACATTTTGAAAAAATAATTGCAGCATGCACCTTAATGTGGTCTATATAAAAAAAAATAACACTGAATTTAAAAGTTTTTTGCATAAAAATGTTTTTAGGGTGCCAAAAAAATTTTTTTTAGGGTGCCAAAAAAATTTTTTTTAGGGGTGTTCTTGAACATTTAATGGGTTTCTAATATTGATAAAAAAAAGTTTTTCAAAAGTATGTCTCATTGGGTCTCAAATGAAGCAAAATTATATAAAAATTTCAAAAATCATTTAAAAAAAAAAATAAAAGAAAAATTATAATCAAAAACCTTGTAAAAATGCACATTTTTTACTTTTAGTTAAAAAGTTTCAACTGCTGTGAAGTAAAATCTAAAATAACTATTTTTCTCACATCTTTGGCTCTTGGTGAAACAAGTTGCAATCAGTATTTGAAGTAAACTATTATATTTGAGTAAAGGTCAGCAATAGAATGTAGTGAGGGTACTACAAGAATATAAATGAAAAGGTGTTATAAGTAGAGTTCCCAAGGATCTGTATGCTACTATTTATTACATTCATAAACATTGTAAAGATTTAAAACGATTTATGAGTAAACGCTGTCAAAACTCTTTGCTGATGGTCAAAAGTGATTTTGGTGATAAAAGATCAAGAAGACAATATAATTTTTTGAAACGCTATAGATAAACTAAATAAGCGAATAAAAATATGGTTAATTAAATTTAACGAAAAAAAAAAAAACTATACACTTTGGTTCTAAAAATAATAAAAAAACATGATTAGACATTTAAAAAATTTGAAAAAGTAAATTTTCATAACCCAATCAATCATATTGCAACAACTGCAAAAGGATCCCCCTCTTGCATAAGAATCATAAAACTCAAAGAATAAAACATCAGAGAAAACTTCTTTGCTAAAAGAAAATATTATGATTGGCACATCTTGCGAAAAGATGCAATAGTTCAGATTCAATTACCTTTATCAAAAACAATAATGACTCAGTAATCAAATATAGGAAACAAATAAAATAATGAAACTATATAAACATTATTGAAAAGCACATTATTCAAATCATTAACATTATAACATCGATATTTGTTAACATTATCTTAAAATAAAAAGCATTATGCTTCGAAAAAGGTGCTATAGACTCATAAGATATATATATATATATATATATATATATATATATATATATATATATATATATATATATATATATATATATATATATATAAATATATATATATATATATATATATATATATATATATATATAAATATATATATATATATATATATATAAATATATATATATATATATATATATATATATATATATATATATATATATATATATATATATATATATATATATATCAACCCTTGCAAATAGGGTCAGCATTCGCCAATGCAAGATGCAATTAAAGTGTTTGAGGTTGAAAAAAATTGCAACATGTAAATGTAATAAATTAAAACATAAAAAATATATATAGAGACAAACCTTATCATTTTTCATTTTATATTTAACTACACCATATGAAATTTGATAATTTGTTACCCATGAATCACTGTTAGAATCACCTTGTACATTAATACCTGATATTGCAGAAACTTGATTCAACTCAATTATTATATATGGTTTACTATCATTAGATAAGGCACACCATGTAAATGGGCTATCAATATATGCTTCCATTATCTTAAATCTGAGTGTCGAAGACATTTCAGCAAATGCTGGAACAAATACATCACTACAAACTGAAAAAAACAAACAGATTAAATGTATAAATATATAATTAATTCAATTAATAATTAAAAAAAAGTGAAGTAAGTAATTTATTATTGGTTGCACTATTTTATCTAGACCACTCAATATGCATTGTAGTGTTTTTCTATATAAACTTAGCAGAAGGTTCATTCATCTTTTTTTTTCAAATTCATCTACAGTTAAAAACACACAAAATATTTTTTAGATCAAAGACTTTAAATGTTATAACCTAACAAATATCAACAACAACAAAAAAGTCTATTGTCAACTCATTAAATCTAAAAAACCTCTGTTGTCCTCAACAATTTCAAACAACCTATGCTATTGTTTTTCAATAATTAAATAAAAACATATTGATAATATATTCCTAAATTTAAACTTTTACTAATTTAGAATAAGCTTAATAAGTTAATTACAATACCCATAAATTAATTAAAATAAATTGAAAAAAAAGAAGGTAAATTCAAGACAAAAACTAAAACGATTTCTAATGAAGTAGAAAAGTGTATTAAGAACAATAACAAAAATTTATATTTAAAAATAAATTTTAAGTTAATTTCCTAAAGATAAGTAAGAGCAAAACTTATCATTTATCTGCCTTTCATACCCTTCATCACCTAAAAAAGTAGTCTTAATTTTAATGATTTATAACTTTATGAATATTTGAAAACCTCTAAATAAACATATAACCAAGCTACTAACAAATACTACTAATATACTCTTTTTTTTAATGTTAATTTGCCTCATCAAGCCTGAGAAGGCCACTATAGTCAAGGAAGCTACTTTAATTGTGGTGATAAACCTTTCTCAACTCTTGTGCCACTTAAAGTAGTGCATAAATAAACATTACAAATGGCTTAAAAAGATACAACTTTACATAGATAAACAGGAACATTATTTTGAACATTTAATAAATTAAAAACTTATTTTTTAATATTTTTTGTACTTTATTTACTAATGTTACTTACTTAATTTACTTAAATTACTAATTAAATTACACTAAATTTACATAAATTATTATAATGTTATTACTAATGTTTTTTTTGTTTGTTTTTAACGTCCTTATTTCCAACAGTGGTTGCTTGCAAGCAACCACTACTAGAGTTGAAAGTTACTGGAAGAGAAAAGATGAAGTTTACAAAGCAAGATTAACAGACAACTTAAAAGATTGGAAGTTATATGAATATGAAAAACAAGATAAATGGAGGGAGTTCAAAAGAGCTGATGTTCGTAGAAAAAAACAAGAATAATATGAATTTTTAGAGCACTTTAGAAAAGTCACAGCAAAAGAATGAGACGAGTAACACAAGAATTTTAGCAGATAGCACAAGAGACATTTGCCCCTTAGAGCAATGCCCATTATAGTATTTATAGAAAAGAGAAAAAAAGCAATATTATGACAATGTGATAATGGTTGGAGATTGGCTACAAAAGCAGGTCCAACAACATTTGCGATGCGTTTTTGCACCTTGTGAAAAGAAAATTGATGTTACTTAATAGACAGTAAGAAGAAAGCTTATGGAGAAGACCAGCATGCCAAACTTTATAAAAGACTTTAGAAATGTCGAAACTCTACTTCTCGGCAGTTATTACCATTAATAAATCAGCAGTAGAACAAGAAAACCCAAAATCCATATTGATGATCAGAAAGTAAGTTACTAGATTTAAGATTAAGTATTTGTTAAATAAAGACTCAAAAACCATGCCTATGATAGGAAGAACACTAATGGGATGGTAGTTAAAAAAGTCAGATTGCTATCCAAATTTTTTGAAAATATGGATAATAGATGCTGCTTTCTAGCAGGCTGGAAAACAAGATTCTGAGAAGCATTTGTTAAATAGTTCTGAAAGTATAGACAACAGCTCTAGAGAAAACTTCTGTAAGACTATAAAAGGTATGTTGTCCGGACAACAAGCTGTAGAAGATTCTAAGCAAGAAATCACTTAAGACAGAAACTGGAGTGATACAAACCTCAGGCTATGGATCAACCTGTTTGTCAGCTATATCAGTTAGAACCCGACTAATGGAATCACAAGATGATATGATATTGATGAGAAGTTCTTAGCAAATAATTCAAATTTGCTTTAGGTGAGGTGACAAAATCTGAACCATATGAGAGAAGTGGAATAACAGATTTGCGCTCATTATAAATACTTGAGTCACAAGAGCCTAATTTATGAAATAAAATACAAGATACTGTGACCTGAGAATAGCTGGCTTTGGCGTTAGACAAAACCTTTTACAATGGTTTCTAGCAAAAGGAAGAAAACCATGTAAAGAGTCCCAGTGAGCTTTAAGGTAGTTGTAAGAGGTACGATGATAAGGGGATTGTGATGATAAAGAAGAATGAGATAATAGTTTTAGAGAGATCAAACCGTGATCAGCAGCACCTAAGAAATGAACAAGACAAATGTCGAGTAAAAAAGGTAAATGATTCGGTTTGTCTGGAAAGCGAGAATTTTTTTAATAGAGATTGAGAAAAACAAAAGTTGTGGGCCTTAACATCTGCAGAGTCACTAACACAAGAGCCAAGTCATTCAGAGTGATAAGCATTAAAGTAACCAACAACAACAATATTGGCTGAAGAATAAAGAGAAAGGGCTTTGTCAATTTGATCAGAAATAACATCAAAAAGAGTGTAGTCTTGAGATTAAAGATGTAATTTTGAGATGAGCAAATAGAACAAAGAGAGATTTAATAGAACAAAGTGGTGCTAAACGAAAACACAAAAAAGAATTGTCTGTGGATTCAAAATAGTTTCCCGATAAAAATTCTTACGAATGTAAATGTACACTTATAAGACCATAAATGAGTTATGGTCTTATAAATGATGAAGACAAATGTGATATTCTGATTTTAATTAGTACCTGTAAAACTATTTAGTTTAACAACCTTACACTGTTTTGTATGTTATTTTTAAAAACAGGTTTTTATATAAGCATTTTTAATGACTTTAATCAATTCATTTTAATTAATTTATTTTTATTAAGACTCAAATGAATGTATATGAAAATATGTAAAAAAACAAACAAATAAAAAATATAAAATAAAACCAGTTTTGAAATATATTCTGACTTAATAAAGTAATATTACTTGCAAGTACATATTAGTAACTTACTAGTAAGTACATACTAATAGTAAGTTACTAATATGTACTTGCAAGTAATATTACTTTATTAAGTCAGAATATATTTCAAAACTGGTTTTATTTTATATTTTTTATTTGTTTGTTTTTTTACAGTATGTAAGTACTTGCAAGTTAGAAACATTTAGAAACTTACTAGATTTTGATAATACAACTTACTAAGTACTTAACAGGATTAACTTTTTTAAATTGTCAAATTGATAAAACTTTATGAGTTTATTTTTTATAATTGTTTAAAAAAATTAATTTAATTCAAAATTTTACTTAAAGTTCAAACTAAATTCAGATTAAAAATAAATTTTATCAATTTTTTTATTATAAAAAAGTATATTGATAATATTGATTAACGCAATAGAATATTACTTAGACGTTTTCCATAAATCTCAACAGCCATGTAGCTATACTCAAGGCTATTTTTAGATGAAGTTTTTCTAACAATTTTAATCTGACTGCCAACTTTTGTATTATTCAGAGTCGATAAAACAGGGGAGTAACCAAATTGAAAGTTACCAGGATACTCCTAAAAAACAATTATTAAAAAGATTAACATTGTACAAAAAAAATTTGAAATTTTTTTTATTTCTTAATAATAATTATCTATAAATGATAATGATTATAAAATATATATTTTGTGATTTAAAATGATTGTTATTACCACATTTTATATTAGACAAATTTATGTTTAAAAAAATTATGTACTAATAATCTACATAAAAAATGTATTCAACAAATACTGAAATTGAATTGAAAATATATAAAACTTTTTTATACATCTTAATAAGAATTATCTATAGATGTTATTGATTATAAATATATACTTTTTATAAATAATTTTTATAAATACATTTTCTATAAATATTTTTTATAATAATATTTTGATGATAACTAACTATATCTTAATAAAATAAAGTATACATTTTGTGACTTAAAATGATTGTTATTACTACATTTTATATTAGAATTTATGTATTAAAAAAACATGTACTAGTAATCTACATAAGAAATGTATTCAACAAATATTGATTTTCAAATGTTCAGAAAATGTTTAAAAAAGCAATATTTATATAAAACTTAAAAATGTCTTTGAAATGAAAATATTTTTTTAAATGAAAATGACAAAAATATCATTTTAAAATGAAAGTAATTAAAAGAGGTTATTCATAAAGTAACTTCCAAGGGGGGTCAAAGGGCAGATATTGTGACATTAGGGTGGCTGTAAGACTTTTTAAAAAGTCTCAAAAAATATTTTTTTTTAGCTTTTATTTTTTCTCACAAATATCTTATTATCAAAGATAAAAATGTAAGGTGCATTTTTAGATAGGAGGGGGGAGAGTGCATAAATTTATGACAGGAGATAGACAGGAGGGGGAGGAGAATGTAAAATGACAACAATAGCATGACATTTTAATGGATGACACTAATCATTCTTTTATAATTATGTAACTCATCATACAAAAATGATAAACATTTTACATTTGAGTTAAATTGATTATTTTTAATTATTTTTTTTAAAACTTAAAAAAAAGTTTTAAAGTTTTAACTTGGAAATTTAAAATTAAAAGTTTTGTTAAACTTAACAAAATTTCTTGATTGGTAATTTATCTATTCTTTCATAAAAATCTTTCATTAAGCATAAAGCTAACACTTTTTATTGATGATGTACACTTCTAAATTACATTTTTTCATTTGAAAATACCTCAAACAATCTTGGTCTGTTCTTGATTTAATTGAGAAAAATTTACTTAATTAAATAAATACATATGTTTACCCACAGCTACTGTGTTTTTCCAGAATAGTGGAGAAAACACTTGCTCAGCTGTGCAACAAATTATTTTATTAGTGAAAATTTTTAATAATGTTCAAGTGATTTTAATTAACATTCAAGAGTTTTCTAGTAGAATAGTTCGCCATTCATCATTAAATAAGATTTTATTTTTTTCTTAAAAATAGTTGTGCTCTTCGTCACGGATGTTATTTGGAAGTATATTCTAAAGTTTAGGACCATAATGCTTGATTACCAAAACAATTGCTGCATTTTGTTTCTTTTAATTTTAGTGTTCTTTCTGACATTGAGCAGTGAATTAAATTGGATAATGACGTTGGTGCTTCTAGCATAATAGATTTGTGCATTATTAAAAGGACCTTGAAATATATTCTTTCTCTAATTTTCAGCCAATGCAATTTGTTAAATTCCTGGTTGTTTAAATGATTTTCTATTCTAATTATAAATACCAGTCTTGCTGCACAATTTTGAACAGACTGCAGTTTTTTTAATAGTGACTTTTCAATTCCAAAGTAGAGGGAGTTGCAATAATCTAGTTGTGCCAATATTAGTGAACATACTATGGTACACAAATCTTTGTGCGATAAGAACTGTTTTATTTTGGATATTTTGCTCAATATATTGTAGCAGTTTTTAACAATCTTATTTGTGTTTTTAAAGATAATTCATAGTCAAGTATCATCCCTAAACTTTTTGCTGAGTCAACAAATCTAATGCATTCCTTGTTAATAAAAGTACCTTTAATAAAAATATCTTTTTGAATGCTTGGTGGTGCCATAATTAGTCATTTTTGTTATCGATTGGTTAATACATAAGAGTGATTCACTCATCCATTTAGATATGTATTGAAGACATTTTGGTATATTCAGGACTAGTGCGTTATATTGAGATGAAGGAAGGAATGCTTTTAGAGTTAGATAATCATCTGAGTATCCAAAAGTTTAGACATTGATTATGTTAAGATATTTTTATAGTGGTCTCATATAGATATTAAAGAGTTTTGAACCTTGGACTATACCTTGTGGTGCTCCATATTTTACATTTTGGTTCATGGAATATGAGCTACTAATTTTAACTTTTTGAGTAAAGTAAACTAAAAATGATTCAAACCACTGAGCTGAGTCAATTATACCTATTTCACTAGTTAATAGCCCAAGTAGTAGGCTGATCAATTGTGTCAAAGGCAGCACTTAGATCAAGTAACATACTAGTACTGAAGGTGTACGTTTATCAAAGAGTTCAAATATATCATTGGTAAGCTTAAGTAAAAGTGTTTCAGTTGAGTGATGTTTTAGTATCTATATTAATGTTCTATATGAAGATTGCTTGTTTTCATGTGGGAATCAAGACAATTGGAAACTACTCTTTCTATTAGCTTGCTAATGAATACTAAATTAGAAACTGGTCTATAGTTTTTGAAGTCTTCAGTGTCTGTGGCAGAGTCTAATTTCTTTATTATTGGAAGTAATGTAGCACTTTTTAAACAATCCATGCTGCTTGATTCTAGTGATAAGTTTATTATTTCAACCCATATATGTATAAATGTTAGTAAATTGTTTAGCAGTAGATATGCTGAAATCGGATCATCAGGAGAACATTTTGTATGTTCTCCTGATGATCCGATGTTTACAAAATCACTAAATGTCATGGTGATTTTGTAAATTTTTTTGGATTGTTGTTGGTTCAAAATTTCTTAAAAACTGCCCATTATAATCTGATGTGCTTTTCTTTGTCTGGGATATTTGAAGACTAGACCTGAGTTTTCTGATTTTTTCAGTAAAATAATTACTTAAGTTGTTAGCTAGTTCTTCATCTACATCGGCTGTTGGTAGTACATATTCTTGAGTTTTATCTAGTAGCTTGTATATCAATGAGAATAGATTTTTATTTGTAGTGTTTTTATGTAATAGATTAGAGAAATATGTTCTTTTTTTTATATACGCAATTATTGTTGTTTTTTTCCTGAGGCGTCTATATTCTGTCACTAATTATTTGTTCTCCAAACAATTTTTCTGCTTTTCTTCGTTTTTGCCTGAGTTGCATATATTCTCCTTCAAACCAAGGAACTGTTTTGACTATTTTTATTCTTTTTATTTTCAAATTTACATTTTTCTGCACAATCTCTTTCATTATTTGGTTATATATTGTTATTTTGTCTTTCATATTTTCAGCTGATGATATTTCTGGTTTATTTCTTGATGTTTTATTATTGAAGGACTGTATGTCCACTGTTTTTAAATTCCTGCATGTTATAGTTTGGTATAACTTTTTTTCTATTTTTTGTTCTACTTTAAAATCGATAAGAAAATGATTACTCAAATCTAAGTCTGTTACAGCGAGCATAACTACTGATATTCCATCTGGCTTATTAATTTCTACATCTAGTATGTGTCCCATTTTTTTGAGTTCCTTCTTTGATATGTTGTGTTAGATTTAGTACATTTAGCATTTCTTTGAAGCTTTTGCTAAATAGTTCTTTAGTATCTAAGTGTATGTTTATATCACCTGCTATAATGTATTTGCAACCTATTGATACTATCATTTCAAGTAAACCCATGAATTCATCCAGAAATGTTATGTGAGAGACATATAATAATCTATAAATGCAAATTAAAATTAGTGATCTTTTGGCTACCGTAATTTTAACACACACTTGTTCAAAGGAGTGAAAACTGTTTTAACATAATTCCTACCCCTCCACCTTTTACTTTATTTCTTTCTTTTCTTATTTTGTGCCAAAAAACATATCCATAATTTTTTATCATTGCTGTTGTGTTACTGTTTTCAAAAGTCATCAATGTTTCGGTAATAAAATGTCTGGATTCCGGTCAAGTATATGCTCCATTACATCTGGAAGTTTATTAGTAAGAGAGCAAACATTCCATAGTGAGCATAATATATAATTTATGTCGGTTCTATCATCCTTTTGAACTTGGCACTTAAAATGATTAATTTTAAGTGTTTCTTTCAGGGTATTTTTTTCTCTCTTAAGTGAAGGACATTTAATATCAAATGCACAGTGAAAATTATCACTTTGTCTATCTAAAACACAGTTAACACATTTTTTATCCATTGAAGAGCACTGATCAGTTCTGTATTTTTTGCTACATTTAGCACATATTGGCTCTTGTTTCTTGCATTCCTTTGCCAAATGTCCAAAGCTTTGATAGTTAAAACAACGCATTACATTGAGTTTGTCATATATTCTGCAAGAAGTTAATCCAAGAGTTACTTTGTTTTTATAACATAGAAAACCTTCTCGTAATATTTTACTTACTTTAGCAAATACTTGAAACATTGATGGTTTATTTTTTATCGGTTCTTTGATGTTGTTCACTTTGCTAAACTCTTGGATAAAACTGTTTTGTGTGTGCAGCATAATAACTTCATTTTCATTATATTCCTTAGGTAAACTACTGATTATAATTTTTTGCATGTTTAATTGATATGATTTTATTTTTATTTGATTGTTCGTGTCTTTAAGAGAACTTAATAATTTGTCTTTATATTCTTCAGAGTTATGTATAAGTTACTAGGACAAGATTACGTATAAGTTACGTATAAGTTACGTATAGTTACTAGGACAAGATCACCTGATTTATTATGAAATGAATTTTTCAATTGAATATTATCATTCATGACTATATTTTCAATTATACTTATCTGTGTTAACTTTTTCCTCAGATACTTTTCCTATAACTAAGAGAGAATCTGGTGTTGGAGTTTTTACTGTATTT